GATGATTGTATATTATTTTACGGCTGGGGGAGGGGAGGGAGGAACGTAACGGGATATATGTATATGAATATTCCTCTCTTTCTCCGCTGCTTTGATCTCGTATCCACTACGGTATTCATCGCGGTGTTGTTGATTTAACGCGATCCTAGCCCGGCTTGATATTCGACGAATATTCTCCGTCGTGCTCTCTCCGCTGTTATAAGAAACTGGAATTAGATACTTTCCGCGTAAAGCTTCGTTTTATGTATTAACAGAAACGGGTAAGAAGCGTTGGTTGGTTAGCCGGTATTGATCTTGGAAAAACTTTACCACGAGTCTTGAGAAGCTTTATCCCCGCGTCTTATCTCGCGACGATAAATTTCGACAGAAAAAAAAGGGTACAGATTGATTCAGAGTGGAATGTTACTTTTATTATTTCGTTGATTCTTCGATTCTTTAAACTTTTTATTAGAAATATCGAAGATCTTTGGGCCTCTGTGACTAAAAATATATATATATATATATATTGATTATTCTATTTATTTTCGTACTAATATTAGCTGCACAAATTCATCCATATTTTAGTCTCGTAATATCAAACACGAAATTCTTCCCCCAAACGCACGGCTCGATTTCACTCTACTCCGCTTATTTCGCCGATTTTTCCACTTTTTCGCTCGATGAATATTTCAAAGATCGACGCCACTTTTGGGAAAAAAAATTCGCTCTCCTTCGAACTTTTTCGCGTATCAATAATATATATTTATATATAAGTTATATACAGGATGACACGGTATCTGTCTGTGAAAGCCAAGATTTTCGCCAAGATTTTTCGCAAGGATCGAATCGAATGGTGCATCTTGGCTGATATATTAAATGGATTCGTGCCGTTTCCATGAAATCCGTGCATCTTTCGTAGTCGTCGTCGAGGAGGACGACGAGCGAGAAGGAAAACTCGGCACCATTTTCGCCTCGTTTCATCCTTGGTGTCCGATCATCGACGACAAAGCTGCGATCGCAAAACTACTACTAGCTCGGTTCAGGGAAAATTGTGGATCGTTGAGAACGATAGTCATGGAAATGCTGAAACATTGCTGACTACGTATCGCTATCGTTTCTACGGATTTGAAATTTGAAAGACGATATCGAATTCGGATTTGGAGGAGAAAAGAAGAGGAATACGAGACGATTTTCGATGAGAAGTAAACTGAGGATAAATTTCGTTTGGATGGAATTTTGCGTTACGATGAAAATAAGAATTCTTATTTAAAGGATAAATTATAATGTTAATTCGAATTTCATGGTTAATTTTGAGAAAATATAATTTTAAAGAAAATTGCGTATTAATGAACGAAGGTCAATGAGCTTGATAAACTAAAGGATCTATATAAAAGATTTGATACAAAGAATAACAAGTGGTTTAAAATTAAACACCAGTTAATGAATGAATATTTAAGATACCGGAGGAAGTGAAACTCGATGTCGATAACTGCAGGTTCGGACACGAAGTGCACGGCACGGGATCACGGGATCCAATATCGAGCCACTTGGGTCGAGAAAGCCGATGAACTCAGGGTCATGGCGATCTAATAACGACTATTTCCGTTTGGAAATAGATTCTAACGATTACGAGATTACGTTAAAAATAATTTACCCTGAAACTTGAAGGAAAAATCAAATTTTTACCCGAACTTATCGCAGTTATCCTTCAAATTTTTCGAATTTATTCAATCGATTTCCTGACTTTCAAATACTTCTCTCGCTTTTGGGATTATTTGAAGATTCGAAAAACCGTTATCGTTTGGAAATGGAATATCAGCCGATTATAATTTCGATTGCAGCATGGAAAACAAGCGTTGTAATCGATCTCTATTTCCAGATAATATCAAAAACCTCTTACAAACAATTTCTGTCCAACCTTTTTCAATATTTATTACCATAATTCATTTACTTAACAAAATCGACCAAATTTTCCACTGTTTTTAACAATTTAAAATCTCAAATCTATCTATCTAAATTTGAATCTTCTTCGAATTTGATTTTTCCTCGAATTATTCAAACCCACAAACGCCCTTTCCAATCTCTCATATCCACTTACACACGCTTACACACGTGTCAGACAATTTAAAAGATTCCGTACCATTATCACGAATGAATCGGACCTCCTCTAAAAAACTGCTCTTCAACGAACGAGCAGGCCAACAAACGCCAAAAAAATTCCTATCCAATCTCTCGATATCCACTTACCACTTACATTCACTTCCAACAACACCAATTTCCACCCTTTCCAAACATACAATTTCCCCCTTGTATCAGAGGACCGAGATCAGAGGACTGGGTTGCGCTACTTGCGAATCAATCGGCCATTGAATTGGTAGCGCGGCGCTGGTAGCGAGGCCGTTGCTCTGACGCGGACTTAATACAGCAAAGGGTAGAGCAGAGGAGGTATATATGCCGGGGTAAGCTCTGAAACGGGCCAGCGAGTTGTAAACGGCACGCAAATGGAACGCGCCCTCCCCTCCTCCTCCCCCTCCTCCTCCTTTAAATCGTTTGCGCGTAGCACGAAGGTTATATCGGCCAG